TTTGCATGATCGTCATGCGCATACCCATTGCGTTGCATGATCGGCATGCGCATACCCATTGCGTTGCATGCTCGTCATGCGCATACCCATTGCGTTACATGCTCGTCATGCGCATACCCATCGCGTTGCATGCTCGTCATGCGCATACCCAGCTACCCAGGGGCGTATTATGCTTGCTATACGCAGCCGCATGAATGATAGCGCATCAGAAATACGCACTCACACTCCCACACAGACGCACTGATACAAGGCGCGCATACGCATAAATACAAGGCGCACCCACACATATCTCAACTCATTAGCTGAATGATTCTGACCTTCTCATTCATTCCTCGTCCATCTGAAGTTAAGTGCATGAATGATTCTATTTAGTCTCTACCTTCCTCACTAATATCTAATTCCTCTAGAAAATGACAGGATCCAAAAATATGTATTCAGTGGATGCAGTACTTATTAAATAGCTTGTATTGTACTTGTCTATGGTCGTTCTGTATTCATTTATGTAAGGTAATTTCGAAAACTGTAGCCGGTAAATGGCTGAGTAATATTAATATTGTTTCCTATATGCGCCATTACTTTATTATTTGAAAGAAATTCTACTTACATTTTCTTTCATTAAATTCACTTTATTTAAGTTTTCTTCACAGGAATACGCAAGGTCTAGAAAGTTTCGAATTGTTAATTTGAATAGAACATTAAAATAAGAATCGGATTTTCAGAAGCGCATTTCCGTTTTAATATATTATTAACACTGTAGTATTTAAGTTATCAAAAGTAATGCGTTCAGAAATAACCTTGGCGAAAGAAGTAATGTAATAAAATACTACGACTTAGTAGAATATTTACATGTAAATGTTTCTTACGTTTTTTACGATGGCTGTACTAGAATCATTATTTTGGTACATTGATTCAAGCGTTCAGTAGTTGCGTTGTGGATGATGAATTGCTTTAAAGGAATACCTGACGGAATACCTGGAGGAATACCTAAAGGAATACTTGGAGGAATACCTGACGGAATACCTGGAGGAATACCTGACGGAATACGTGGAGGAATACCTGACGGAATACGTGGAGGAATACCTGACGGAATACCTGAAGGAATACCTGGAGGAATACCTGACGGAATGCCTGAAGGAATACCTGGAGGAATACCTGACGGAATACCTGGAGGAACACCTGAAGGAATACCTGACGGAATACCTGGAGGAATACCTGACGGAATACCTGGAGGAACACCTGAAGGAATACCTGACGGAATACCTGGAGGAATACCTGAAGGAATTTCTGCCACGTCATGCCAGTATCGCGGTCCGCTTTCTCCGTCCGTGCGCCGCTATGACAGCGTCCGCGTTTCAGGGGCGCCGCCAACCCTGCGACATTTTCGTGCGTCTGAACAACATCAATTTCTGTTGCGGATCTTCGTTTGCGGAGTTGCGGATCTTCGTTTAAATTTTTCACTGAATTGCAATTACGTATCTTTTATGGAATTTTCATTATATTTAGATCTTTAATTTCAATTTTATTCATTTGAGGTCACTGAATTTCAATTACGTATCTTTTACGGATCATGAATTCTTTTAGTTATTGAATTTCAATTCTATTAATTTTAAGAGATTCCGGTCATATTTCTTTAAAGGAATTTAATTTTTTTTGTGCTGTATTGTCAATCATCTTTCTTCTATTGAGGATTTATATTTTCCTTCTGCACTATTTTCTTTACTTAGGGAGAATTTCAGCGATATTTTGCAGGAACTCGAGTTATCTTGTATTGCGTTTATACTGAATGGTATTCTAAAGAAGAGAATAAATTTTATTAAGTATACCTAGTACTTATAAAATTTATTTCTTCGTCTTACATTTTTAACATCCTCCATTTTCATTATTTCTTTCTTTTTTATTATGCATGAAGAGATTGTATGAAAGCCTTCCGTAACATTTCTTGTTTAATAATCGGACATTTTTTCACTCATTCAATATTGTGCCGGTATAGATTCTCCATTCATTCATTTCTCATTCATTCATTTCACGTTCATTCATTTCTCACAGCGCGTTAAGCTCGCTGGTATCATTATCTGGCAGCTCAGAATCCCTTTATATTTGTATAGGTAATTTAAAATTAATTCGTATTGAGTAAATAAACACATATTTTCCACAATGAACATTTATATATGCGTGTCAATTGACTACGAGGGGGGGCAGATCTGGATCCCCTCCGTATTTTGACCCCCTGCTCCGTTTTAAGCCACCCTCCTTTTCCCTCCACCGTTTTGACCCCCCCCCCTCTCCACCATTTACAACCTTTTTCCCCATTTAGAACCCCCTTTTTCCATGTTTAGATCTTCATTCCCTCCTCCCGTTTTGAAACCCCCTCCCTCTCTCTCCATTTAGAACCCCTTCCCCCCCTCTCTCTGTACCGCCAGCGCTGCGTGCGATACTCGGCGGTACCGCCAGCGCGGCGTGCGATACTCGGCGGTACCGCCAGCGCTGCGTGCGATACTCGGCGGTACCGTCAGCGCGGCGTGCGATACTCGGCGGTACCACCAGCGCTGCGTGCGATACTCGGCGGTACCGTCAGTACCGCGGCGATTCCAACAATTAACGATGTTGGTTGGAACAACGATGTTGATTTGTCGATGAAGCCCTCCATGTTTTAGAATTTTTATACATTGGTGAATGGAAAACATTATCCATTTATTTTTCATATAAAAACTGGGTATTTTGACACACTTTTACTTGTATAAATGTTGTGGATTCTACTGTCGTAGGTCGTCTCGTGGAACGGTGGTTGATCAAGTTATAGTTATTTAATTACGTATGTGCGTCTCAGGCACGCAACTTACGTACACTGGTCACGTAAATTGTACGTACACTGGTCACGTAAATTGCATGTACATTGGTCACATAAATTGTGCGTGCTGAGGTCACGTGAATTGCACGTACATTGGTCACATAAATTGTGCGTGCTGAGGTCACGTGTAAATTGTGCGTGCTGAGGTCACATAAATTGCACGTACATTGGTCACATAAATTGCACGTACATTGGTCTCATAAATTGCACGTACATTGGTCACATAAATTGCACGTACACTGGTCACATAAATTGTGCGTACAGTGGTCGCGTAAATTGCACGTACACTGGTCACGTAAATTGCACGTACACTGGTCGCGTAAATTGCACGTACACTGGTCACGTAAATTGCACGTACACTGGTCACATAAATTGTGCGTGCTGAGGTCACGTAAATTGCACGTACATTGGTCACGTAAATTGCACGTACACTGGTCACGTAAATTGTACGTACACTGGTCGCGTAAATTGCACGTACACTGGTCACGTAAATTGCACGTACACTGGTCACATAAATTGTGCGTGCTGAGGTCACGTAAATTGCACGTACATTGGTCACGTAAATTGCACGTACACTGGTCACGTAAATTGTACGTACATTGGTCACATAAATTGTGCGTGCTGAGGTCACGTAAATTGCACGTAATTATGGCCACGTAACTACGTAGGTCACGTAAATAAGGTCGGAGCATCCGCTGTGAATCTGGTACATGTATGTGCATTAGAACTTTCAGTACGATCACCGTACGTACACGTGATGAATACACCTTGCGTATTCACGTGTATATTCAAAAATAATATTTGTATGTGCATATAAATTTTTTATAAATTTGTATGTGTGTAGGAAAACTTTTAAAATGTACCCGTGTATGATGAATGTTCTTGGTGGAAATGTGTGTATTTTTTAGGCAAAAATATTTTTTACTTATCAGGAAATGATTTTACAAGTCTAAAAATACTTTTGAATGTTAGAAAAATGTTTTTACATGTCAAAAAAATGTTTTTACATGTCAAAAAAATGTTTTTGCATGTCTAAAAATGTTTACATGTCTACAAATGTTTTACATGTCTAAAAATGTTTTACATGTCTTAATTGTTTTTACATGTCTTGATTGTTTTTACATGTCTTAAATGTTTTTACATGTCTAAAAATGTTTTTACATGTCTAAAAATGTTTTTACATGTCTACAAATGTTTTACATGTCTAAAAATGTTTGTACATGTCTTAATTGTTTTTACATGTCTTTATTGTTTTTACATGTCTACAAATGTTTTATGTCTTTTACTTGTCTTAATTGTTTTTACATGTCTTGAATGTTTTTACATGTCTAAAAATGTTTTTACATGTCTAAAAATGTTTTTACATGTCTAAAAATGTTTTTACATGTCTAAAAAGGTTTTTACATGTCTAAAAAGGTTTTTAGGTGTCTGAAAATGTTTTTAGGTGTCTAAAGATGTTTTTAGGTGTCTAAAAATGTTTTTAGGTGTCTAAAGATGTTTTTGCGGTTCTTTTGTGTAGGTCTATGATGCCTTGTGTGTACGCTCACAGTACCTATACTTATGGTGTGTGTGTGCGTGGCATGGTGACGTACGTATACGTGTTAATACTTTTCTTGTTTGCTGATAATTGTAATCTGCATTATTTCAGGAAGTTTTTTAGAGAGATATTCTCATTGCTTGTAATCAACGATGCGATATTTTTTGAAGAGCGCATACTCTTCAATTACGCTAAATTATTGTTGCTGTTCTGACTTGGGAAATTTAGTTTTTATGCAGAATTATATTTTAAATCATAGTCTCGTAATAAACCTATATTTGGATTTAATTCCAACGGCAGATATATACTTATTTAAGTACTATACTTACTATTTTAATGATGAAAACTTTCTAATGTTGCGTGATGTAATAAGAGTTACGAAATTTTCCAAAAATTTCGTAAGTTAAGAAAATGCCGAGGAAATTTAATGTTATTTCATCGACGACGTTTCAGAGGCGTGCTCCGTCATCAATTCACATACCGCAAAACAAATTCATGTATTTACCGGGCAATAATTTTGCCTAATGAATTATTGGTTAATGAAATATTCGCGATTAAAGATTATACAGATACGCGTATAAATAATTTTTTAAATGTTGACCAACAATTTTTTTCAGGTTTCTGGCAGTAACTCTTATTTTCTTAGAATTAGTGATCTTTTTTTAAATCTTCTTTGATTCTTTCGATGGAACCTGATGCCGTTATGATGGATCCAACAAGAACTGAAAACGACCATCCTTCCTCTCTTCAAACTCATTTAAATTCGCATATCCTACCTAGTCAGCCATTTTCGTTACCTGTCCACGAAAAAATCAGTGCCGACAGTCCCAGAAAGTACAAATTTGCGTGTTCGTTTCATCTGCGAAAAAACGATAATTTTGAGTTAACGAATTCAAAAGGACCATCTGTGAACAGAAATTATTTTTATTCTTCTGAAGAAATTAACCCCCGTGATACGTGTGCCGAAAACCTGCCTGTTTTAATATCGATTCCCAGAACTAAAAACGGAAATCAAGCAAAAAATAGCCAAGTTTCGAAGCTATGTTTAGGATTTCCTGAAAAAATCTTGAAAGATGAAAGTTTATTACCGGCTTGTCGCGATCCCTACTCTTCAACGACCGAAATTATAGAAAACAACAAATTATTCTTCTCAGTTTCTGATGAAATTTCCCGCACCAAAAATATTTTAGAGTTTTTTGAAACTCATCCCAAATGGCGTCAAAGAAAAAATTGTGATCAAGAACCTTATTCAAGATCAAGAAGATCTACAAATGACCAAAAAAGTTCCCGCAAAATGTCTTGGAATTTTTTCAGTTTTTCGGAAAAATGGCGTATTTTTGTGGTGGTGATGTGTCTTCTCAGCGCGACGTCTTGTGATGGTGAGTGGGGTATGATTGTGGTGCAGGGGTATGATTGTGGTGCCGGGGTATGATTGTGGTGCAGGGGTGTGATTGTGGTGCAGGGGTATGATTGTGGTGCAGGGGTATGATTGTGGAGCAGGGGTATGACTGTGATGCAGGGGTATGATTGTGGTGCAGGGGTATGACAGTGGTGCAGGGGTATGATTGTGGAGCAGGGGTATGATTGTGGTGCAGGGGTATGATTGTGGTGCAGGGGTATGATTGTGGTGAGAGGGGTATGATTGTGGTGAGAGGGGTATGATTGTGGTGCAGGGGTATGATTGTGGTGCAGGGGTATGACTGTGGTGCAGGGGTATGATTGTGGTGCAGGGGTATGATTGTGGTGCAGGGGTATGATTGT